CCAGAGATCAGCGAAGCTTCGGGGCACCCCTGCGAGGCTCAGCCGCTTGCCCTGGGACGCTGGCGGACAGGACTGGGGCGGGTCACAGCCGTATCCTCCGCTGGTGTAAAGCAGGGGTGGGGGCCGTGGATTGGGGTGTCCAAGCCTTTTCGTGCACCCACCTGCGAGTCTGCGTTTTGGGGCGACGTACTCTCCTCTCCCCCTTTCTCCTTGCCCCACGGTTCCGATTTCAGCCGCTCGCATCGTGGTTTGTGACCCTCGGAGATCAATATGGTCTGCTGCCTCGAGGTGCACAGACCCTCAGAGGAGAATGCTGAAAGCCGGTTTAGACCTCTGTTACCGCCGTCTCATTTCCCTGCCTCCACCTGCCATCGCTGGCCATCAGCGGGGCAAAGCTGGGGGGTGCAGGGGGCACGGCTGGCGTTGGGAGCAGATGGCAGGAAGGGTGACATCAGTGGTGAGATTGTCCGGCTCCATTATTCCTCTTGACGGGCCTCCCGCCCTCCTCCCGTTTCCTGCTCCCGGCCGGCCGGGGCTGCCGAGACAAAGGCCAGGGAAAGGGTGGCCCTGAGCCCCCACCTCGTCCCGCTCCTCCTCACCTGTCCAGTGCAAAGAGAACTCGACCTGCGCATCCCGGCGCGGTGATGCCCAGAGCAGCCATTGCCTTTTGGGGAAGGGTGCGGGGCTTGATACGGAGCAAAGCTTTTGGGCAGCCCTGCCCGGCTCGCCCCTCCGCTCCTCCTGCGTGTGCACAGGCGGGGGGATGACAGCGTTTGTCGAATTTGCCTTTCCCAGTGCTCGCACCCCTCTCTTCCATCCTGCTGTTAAGGCAGGGTACCATTAATGGCGCTTCTGGATGCTGTGGTTTGGAGCAGTGCTGTGGGAGATCAGCAGCTCCTGGCTTCTCTGGTGCAAGGAAAGGAAAGGACAATTTGGTGGGAAAGAAGAAATGGGGGAAACAGAAATCTCTTTATTTTGTCAATGAAATATGGCTATGATAGTGGGCATAGCTGAGCCGCCGCTCCCCAAGCCCCACTGCGCACTGCATCCCGCTGGGCACATGCATCTTCCCGTGGTGCCAGGCTGGGAAACCGCAGCAGCGATTCATTTCCCAATTAGCAATAGTCGTCTTCTGCACAAAAATAGTACCTATGTACTGCTCTGGTTTTGTTTTGAACCCTTCTCCCAATACTAACAATAATAAATTCTCCCAATAATAAGTTCCAATAACAACTGGAATAATTCAGCTCCTTGGGGCAGTTTCAGGGGCAGAGGTTATGGGAAATTCCTGCTTGGGGTTTTTGCTAGCATTTCTTGAGGGAAATGTTGAAAATTTCACTTCTTCAAGATCCCCCTGGAAAGTCTTTCCACCTCTTGACCTCTTCTCGCTTCCTGAAACGTACCTATCTCCAGAGCAGCTATAGCTGCGGTTCGAGGCATGACAAGGGTCTCTTCGGGCAATGGAATATTTATTTATTTGCGTTAGGAGCATGGCTCTGCAAGCAGCTGTTTTGCTTGAGGGAAAGCTGGGTCGTATTCTTCAGCCGTGTGCCTGGCTGCTCTTTATGTTGATGGAAGCCCTGTTATTTCGGTGGGGTGATTCACTGTTTTGAAACAGTGTGTGACTGAGATGTTGGTAGTAATTGGGATAATAAGAATAGCTGGCTCTTATCTTAGCCCAGATCACCTGTAGGGCATCATCATCCCTGCTTGGCAGCCAGGGAGAGGTGGAGCAGGGACCTGGACTGTGATGAACCACCCGGTGCAAGGGACCAAATGTCCATGAGGGATTTGCCTCCAGCCGGAACTGGGGAGGGTGATGGGGAGCACTGGGCTTGGTGTGAGGGCAATAGATGATCTCAGCTGGGGTTTGGTTGGAGCTGTTGGCTGGGTGGTCCCTGCTCTGGGCTGGCCATCCGTCCCAGCCAAGATGCTGGCAGGGAGGAGACACCACCCCGGGGAGGTGTCCTGCGGCACCTTCAGCAGCTTTTCAAAGGCATGCAGGGGTTTGCAAGCCCCACTCAACATCTGATTGGGGCCAGAAGACTTGCTGTGCCTTGGCCCTGCTGTCCCATGCTGGCTGGATTTGGGGACCCTTTCTGGAGGGTGATGCCCTGGGGCTTTGGTTACTTCAGCAGTCTTGGGGTGATGTGCAACCCCCATGAGAGAGCTCCCACCACGGAGGTGCTGCTCCTAGGAGAGACTCCTCTCTTGTCAGCTATAGCCGCACTATGCCAGCCCCTGGCAGAGGCAGGAATATGGCCCTGAGCATCTCTTCAGCTCTGCCCTCTTCCTCTGCCCCAGTTAGCTTTTAGCCTCTGTGTATGTAAGGCCAGAGATGGAGCTGTGCCTTCCGCCGTGTGTCAGGAGTGTGTGAGGTTAACGGGAGACCCGCAGACCTGATTAAACACCTCCCTCTCATTTCCCTTTGTGGTGAGGAGCCAGGATGCTGGTGCGGGCTCCTTGTGTGCTCCACGAGGGCTCCTCAGGACCATCCTGCAGGCATCCTTAACCCCAGCAAGCAGGGTATTTATTTTCTACAGCCAGGCCACGCGAGGCCAATGCTTGTTTGGCATTTACATTGAGTGAAACCTTATAACTTTAATAAGATGTAAACCGTGTCGCACATCTCTGCCGTCGCTCAGCAACCCTGCAGTAATAGCCCAAACAAAGCCTCCCCGTGTGGAGGGAACACTAAATCCCTATTGTGGGATAATTCTGCTCGGCCGGAGCTGGTATCTCCCCTGCAGCCACCCTGGCTGGAACTGCACAGCTGGGACGAGCCCCTGCCCCACTGCGGCTCGGTCCCCACCTCACGGTGCTTTTAGAGGAGGTGCTTTCGCTGGCGTGGGGCTTCAGGCTGGGGACTGGGTGTTCAGGATGTGCTAAAGGCATGTTAGGGGGGCTTGAAGGCACAGTGGCCGTGCTAAGGACTTACCGGGCTCCCGGCTCCGAGCTGGCTTGGCAGCCGCCGTGTTTCCCTCCGGCTGCACTTGGGATGGCCTCCTGCAAAAGTCCTGCTTCAGGGATGACCCAGGAAGAGATGCTGGGGTAGATACTTTGCTGTCTTATCCCCAGGTGGCTTCGGTCACTTTTCAGTTTCTTATTTTGAAATTCCTGCATCCTTTTCTTTTCCCTCTCATCCTGCCACTGCCTTTTGATCCCTCCCATCATCCCGCTGACCTGTGGGCCCAGTTGTGCTCTCCAGTGCCCGGTGCGGGACTGAGGACAGGCGGCTCCTTCGAGCTCCCCCCTCCCTATTGCAGAGCCACACGCAGTGCCCCGGCGGGGATTTGTGTTGGTGCGGGGCCGTCCTTCCACTGCGGCGAGGAGATGTGATGAGCTCAGCTAAATCGGTGCACCCTGCAGTTTTATTTGGATGGCGCTCACGTTGCTGAGCAGGGAAGCACCTGCAGCAGGGTGTGAAAGCAGCACTGATATCGACAGCAACCCAGAGTGAATCTGTTCTGGTTGTAGGGCATGAGACAGCAAAAGCAGGCGGGTGTCCATGAGCGGTTCCTAGCTGAAGTGGCCTCCTGAAGAGACTTGAGGGAGGGCCAGGCAGAGGATGGATGATGGGCAGCTGCAACACAAGTCGGAGGAGAGCGCAGCTGGGGGGTGCAGACCTGCCCGCTGCTGCCGCCTCCTCCTCCCACGGTGTGATGGATGTGCCTTACCCCACTGGCTGGGGGGGCAGGAGCTGGCAAGGCAGGTGTACGCCATCCACCCAGCTATTCAGCAGATGCACTGAGCCATCCCTCTACGAGGATTTTTATCTTTTAATGCATGGACATTCAGGTAGGGGTAGGAACAGCTGGATGCGCCTTGAGTACCCTCGCAATCCAGCCGTCACCAGGCATGGGGGGACTCCTGCCCGCGGAGAGCTGCCTGCCTGCAGGATACCCCACCATCTCACCCACCCCAGAGACCCTGCAGCAGCCACAGGGCTGGGTGCTGTTTGTGGCACGTAAAGTCACATGAGAGCAGCCCAAGAGGCTCCTTTCCCTCTCCCCAGCACATCTCTGCTGTGTACAAGCCCCACCATGCGTCACAAAAGGAAGAGAGCACATCCCCCTGAACATCTGCCAGGATAAAGAAGAGATTTTCCTCCTCTCCTTCAGCCCTCAGGGCTGATCTGCAGGAGGTTTGGGCTGAGCTTCCAGAGGGGTCATGACTACAGAGGTGTTACTGTTCTGAGCATGGTGTTTCCAGACTGAGCCCTGAAGAGCTGTCTCTCCAGCCCCACTCACTCCAACTGCAGCCCAGGGGCTGTGCTGGGAGCATCCCTGCCTTCAGAACCACCCACAAATCCCCAAGACACCAGCCAGGCTGCAGAGGAATATCTGAGGGCAAAGGTTGGGTGGGGAGGAGGTGGTGGCAGAAGTCGCAGTGACTTCTGTGACATGGTTAAGTAATGGCAAGCTGAGGGTGGGCGATGGGGAGGAGTGACCTTATTTTGGGTAGGATGCTCAGAAGCACTCGTGGTTGGTGGGGCTGCCCCAATGGGTGTCTGTGCCGACATACTTGCTCATAGCCGCGGAGCAGAGTTCCAGCCTGGCTGGACCCGTTGTTTGGTGAGCGAAGCCGACTCGTTGGGGACAGCATGGAGCTGGGGTCGGGTCTCCCGCTTGTGTGACTGCTCAATTCAGCTTTGCTTCCTGTGGTGGCGTGGGCAGCAGCATCCTCAGCGCTCAGCCTATTTCTCTGATCCCCATTTTTTGCCTTTCACCCGCAGGTGGAGGCAGAGGAACACCAGGACGTGGTGGTCTACGACCAGAGCACGCGGGACGTGACGGGCTTGGCTGCCGACAGCTTCCTCTCCATCCTCCTGGGCAAACTGGACAGCTGTTTCCACAGTGTTTCCATCCTCACAGGTAGGAGCCCTGGGTTACTGCTTCCCTTGGCACTCGTGCCCTTGGTCTGGAGTTACAGGGCTGTGGCCGCACGTGTCCATCTGCACCCTCTTTCCCGGCCACCGGTGGCTGCGGCGTTGGAGGGCAGCCCCGCACGTGGACCGAGGAGGCTCGACCCACACTGGCATTGCTGGGGTCCCCCAGTGCATTCTTTCCTCGCACCGTCCAGCTCCCCGCCACTGCGCCTGCCAGCAAGGGTGAATGAGAGGGGAAGAGTATGGAGAGGTCGTGGTGTCGCGGATCCAACCACCCAAAAGCTGCCCTTCATTCCCCGGTCCTGGTGTTACTTCATCCCTGGTGCACGTGCCAAGGGCTGGACCCGGTTTGGGCACTCTACTCCGTCTCGCTGCTGTTAAAGGGAAGGCAGGAGAGGACATCCATGGATGTGCTGGAAAGGGAAAGGGAAAGGAGGGCAGGGGCAGAGGGTCATGACTGAGTCAGGGTCTGCTGGAGATGATGCTCTCCAGGTGCAAGTGCTCAGGCAGGAGGAGGCACGCGCTGCCCCGATTGCTGCCCTGCTGCAGAGCAAGATGGGAGGCAGGTGACCGATGAATAAAACACTCTGACCCAGCAGAGAGGAGGAGAAAGAAGCAGCGAGCTGCCGAAGGGAGAGTTAAAGCTGCTTTGAATTCCCCATGGCTGGGGTGGCTGGGTGTCTGCCTGGCTGGCTGCCCACCTCTGAGCTTTCTGCCTGCGGAGGGGTGGGCAGGCACTGCCCCGCGCAGCCCCTCAATCCCGCTGAGCTCGGCCAGGCTCCTAGGTAGTGCCGAAAGCACAGAAGTGAGGATCATCTCTGTTCCCCAAGCCCGTCCTTATTCTCCGGCAGCTGGGTACTGCTCTGGGGCTGAGGCGGAGGGTACCAACCTCTGTGTCCCCGAGGCATCGCAGGGATGGAGGGAGAGGCTGTGCCCACAAACCCGGCAGCATGACAAATTCTGGGAAGGAGTAGTTGTGATGGAGAAGGTGGCAGAAGCAGGTGGCATTCAGGGAACCTTGCTCATGCGTGGCATGGGTAAGTGCTGTTGAATTAGAGCAGCTATGTTGTGATGGGGAGAACAGAGCAGAGAAATAGCAGGAATAAACCCCACAGTTCGAGGGTTTCAAAAGCAAACAGGCCTACACGAAATCACATTAAAGCTAATTAGGATGGCCTGGGTTGCAGGAGCTCTGCTGAGGCCAGTGCTGGAGGATGCCACCGTGAGCTTGCTACGGCAGTCCCCGGCCCGCCCCAGCGGCCATGCCGGCAGTTCCAAGGTCGTCGCGGCATAAACAAGGACACAGCTTGGCCCATGGTGCAGGAGAAGGGAAGGCGGATTTGGTTGCATCGGGGAAGGAACCTGCTTAGTCACCAGGATGGGTCAGGAAACAGCCTTTGTGGCGTGACCCTGGCAGCCCCCAACACAGCACTGCTTTCCCAGGCCTGGGCAAGGGGCACTGCTTCGCACTGGCTGCAAACCCCCCACCCCAAATCCTCCTAGAGCAGGGACAGGGCCAGGTGAGGTGCCCTGACAGCCCTGGAGCTGTCTCCTCCCTGGAAAGGTGAGGGGAGGCTTGGGGACCCCTGTAGTACCGGTGCACCCCAGCCACGTGCCCGGCATGCCCCATGCTGGGTGAGTGCCGGTGGTGTGCCACCCCCCCCATCAGCATCGGCACTGCTGAGCCCCCCATGAGCAAACCTGCACCCCTGCTCGGGCGCCCGCACCCTCCATCTTCAGGGCGGCCATTTCCTTCTCCCCGTGCTGCAGGAGCCCAGACCCCCCAGGCGCCAAGCAAAGCGCTGCAGGGTCACAGCCTGATGGGGAACGCGGGCTGCCGGCGGGGGGAAACAACAGGAGCCGAAATGTAGAACACTGGGTCATGGCGGCAGCGTTTTACATGGAAATCGTGACTAGAAGCGGCTGCGGAGAGCGGCTGGGGGAGGCTGGGCACACTTGCCGACACGCGCAGCTTCCTCCTGCCTGCGGTGTGGGCAGCAGCAGGGTTGTTTCAGAGGCAGCTCTTGGGAGGTCTGAGGGGGACTGTGCGGGCCGAGCCTGATTCTGACCCCTCGCCCTGGTGGGGTTTAACCTCTCGGTCTGTCTGCTCTGGGCTCAGACACTTTTTCCTGCCCCAGCCAATCCTGTGTCCCAGAAGAGGTGCCTGAGTCCTCCCTGGAGGTGAGTTGTGACCTGAGCAGGGAGTCGGGCTGGCAACGGCTGCCAAAATCTCAGGGTTCTGCCCTGAAATCTCAGCCTGTCCCTAAGTGGGTGCCAGCACCCCAGGGAACCCCGTCCTGAGGGTCCCCAAACCCATGTGCCAGCCTTACGCAGCCCCAAAACCTCCCAAGCTCCTCTGTGCTCCCCAGCTCTCCTCAGCACCAACAGGTGTTCCTCCAGGGGTGACACGCATCCATGCCTCAGTGTCCCCATCTCGTGCAAATGCTGTGCTTGGCCGTTCTTGCTCGCCTCCAACCCATTGTCCTTCAGACCCTTGAAGCAGCTGATGGAGGTTGATGGGTGAGGGACGGGGGAGCTGGGGCTGGCAAGAGTGGTGACGGGGACCCCTCAAGGGTTAACAGCCCGGTGGGGCTGGGAAGGAGGAATCTGAGTCAATTATTCCCAGTCTTGGAAATCATCGGCTTCTCTTCTTTTTTTTTTTTTTTTTTTTTTTTTAATTCTGTGCGTATAAATAGTGCTGCTTGCTGCCCTCCATCCGTGGGAGCAGAAAGCCTGTTGATTTATATGGTTTTCCTGACATCACATGAAGTGGTGGAAAACTGAATGGAGCCAACATTTTTCCTGCATTACGTAATGCCCCCTCCCTCCCGGCCCAGCTCTGCTATTCCTGCAGGAGCCTGACTGTTCTTTAACCTTTGTTTACTTCAGCACAAACCCTTGCTTTTTTGCTTTTTTTTTTTTTTTTTTTTGCCTTTTTTTTTCTTGCTTTTTTTTTTTTTTTTCATTTTGCTTCTTTTCCCCCCTTCTCCTTCCCCTTTGCAAACTCCTGCTTGGTTTTTATTAACAGCCATTATCTGTTTATGAAGCAGCAGCAGCAGTGATCTGGCTCCGTCGCTCCCTGATGGCTCCAGTGTGCCAGCTCTTGTATTGGAGCCCAGCCAGGGCCGTAGCGTAGTGCTGAGCTCCTGGGTGCTGAGCTTCACCAGCTCCTCTCTGTTTGTCCAGCGGCAGTGGAGGGTGGGGAGATCTTCCTTTCCTCCCATTCAGTGGCTAAAAGTGACAGCCGAGGGCTTGGGATGCTCGTCCAGGCGATGCTCAGGCACCCCTCCCGTCCCTACTCCTGGTCCTCGGGCCGAGTGCCAGGCTCCTCACTCCTGCACCCGAAGCCGTATGCGAGCCAGAGACAGAACTGGGCTGGCTGTGTGGCCAGCAGCAGTGGTCCCCGCAGCCCGGACCGCTGGGGTGGGGACCCCCCTTCCACGGCAGAGGCTCTTTTCGTTGTGGTTTCATATGCCGGGGTAGCTTTATCGTTGCAATATCGCGCTCCGACCTGAAACAGGCCCCTTGCTTGATTTCTGAACTCAAGTCATGAGCTTTTCATCTGGCTCAGGAGCGCGTGTGAGATCATCTTCAGTCCCCCCCCTCCCTTTTTGTACCAATTCTTCAAGGAATGTTTAAATTTTCCAGTCCTGTTCTTTCTAAATTTGGAGCGTCTGTTTACTCCCAGGATTCGGAAAGAATGTGACAATATCATCAGTGAGAAATCCCTCCCAGCCCTCCGCTCGCCCTCCTACTCCTCGGCGAGCAGGCTGGCCTCAGCAGCTCTGGCCATGACCCAGGTCCTGTCCAGCCCGGCAGTGCTGCGGCCAGGGAGAGTTGTAACTGCATGGCGGCGGTGATCCGAAGGGGGCTGGGATTTGGGGGATTCTGGGGGAATCTACCAAAGGCAGGTGACTTCAGAGTGGACAAAATGAAGTAGTGAAAAAGGAAAGGGGATTCCCACTGCAGGAGCTGACTTGGGCTGCCCAGGCATGAGCTGCTTCAGCACTGGCTGGAATGATTGTAGAAACAAGGATTCAGGGACAGATGATTTTAATAAAAAAAAAAGAAAAAGCTTTTTTTTTTTTTTCTGCATAAGGACAGTTCTAAAAGGAGATTAAACATCAGGGCAACTGAATGTGACTTTGCTCATCCTTGGCTGAAAATACTGTGATGCTTTTGCGTGTCGTGTCGGTGAGAAGCCACATACCAGCTTTGCATCTCCTTTGCTTCCTGCTCCTCATGAAACACGTCTGGCTGGGGCTGTTTTAGAGGAAAAGAGAAGATGAATGAAAAAAAGCTGAGCTAGGCAGGTGCCAAAGCAGCACACAGGCATGGCAGAGCAGAGGGGGCTTGCTTTTAGTCGGAGTCCCAGGGGCTGAAGATGGCTTGTGCATCCAAAAGTCAGCAAAAGCACAAAGGAATCTGCAAAGCTTATCATGGCTGATGCTGAAGCTAAAAGCTTAGCAGGATCCAGAACCAGAATCAAGGTGTCTTTACAAACCCAATGTAAGAAAAAAGTAATCTAAAACCTAAGAAAAGAAAATACCCCAAACAGCCACACTTCGGTCATCAGTCAGAAGCTGTGTGATGGGTTGGGGGAGCAGGACGCCACTGCAGCTGGTTATTTGATGGTCACCTTCCTCATTGCCCGCTCTGGACAGCATAACAACTTCATCTGATGACTTCGGTATGTGAGTGTGTCTCCTGGGGACACAGCACATGCAGGATGCACTATCTGGTGGGCTTTGTCCTCCGACTCCAGCAGAACCTCTGCTCGGTATGCGGGCCTGAAGATGCACACGTAGGTCAAGTGTTAGGGCTGTTTCAGGTACCCTCAGACTGCAAGGTCTAAGAGCACTTGTGGACTTATTGGCATGAATCCGTCAGATATACCCACAAGTTTTTCTTCTAAAGTCTAATTACTGCCTCTGAACCTCGTACAAGCACCTCTGCCCACCTGTGGACGTCTCCATCCCATTCATG